CCCTCCCACATTTCTCTCTCCCTACTCACGTCTCTCTCCTCTCTCCCCCCCAATGTATCTCCCACCAGCATTTAGTGGAGGTAATCTTTATAGTCACTCAGTGCCTAAGATTTCCAAGCCATTATCCATCAATAGCATTGAATTTGCTATTGGAGTTAACCTTGTTTCTCTCGGATCTCTTGGATGCTCCACCTGAGGGGGGGGCGGTAACCATGACAGAGCCTGTAAATTCCCCCCATTATTTTACAAACCTCAAACAGATCACCACTTAACTCCTCAGCTTTGGAGAAGAAAACCATAGTCTACCCAGCCCTCAAAAGGTTGGCTCTGGGCCGCTGTAAGTGACTGTATTTGTAGGCAAACATTGAAACCAATTTTGGACACGGAAAGGTCTCACACACAGCAATTGATCTGGGGGACTGGCGTTCAGCACTCAGGGGAAGATCTTTTCTCTTTTGCAATGGTGTCCCTGGGACCCTACCCTGTGTGAGGGGCGATATATAAACTCAAGTTGTTGTTGTTGTCGTCCCGGATCTTTAACATTCACCTGAAAAGTGTCTCTTTAAGAGTTTTATACTCCAAAACAAGTACCAATTTAGTTTTTCGTTCATTGCATCTCACTGTGCTGGGATTAAGGGGAAGTTTCTGACAATTTAACATAAGTTCCATCCTTGTGCCTCTTGGCACAGGAATCATCTGCTTTACGAAACCGTGGCCCTGGGCTGACCGGCGAACTGCCGCTCTCTGTTGACCAGCAACTGAAACTGCACCTCAACCACAGCTTTCCTGCTGGGTCCTAGTACCAAATTTTTTTAGGGATTAGTACCCCGGGAAAAGCGATCCGCCAATCGACTGACAACCGGGTTCCTGCTGACTGCTGGTAAACAGAGGCGTGGAGAGTAAGGAAACTTGCCTAAGGTTTTGCACTGCGCCAGGAATCGAACCCGGATCCTTTCACTTGCAAAGCACGTGCCCTAAACAATACCGCACACAGTAAGGACAGAGCCCAGGAACCTCCCACGCTATGTGGCTCAGATTCACTCCAATCAACCCACGAGGCAATCAGACAGCAATTAGGGGGATGGTGAGAGAACATCAGCACTCAAAGGGTTGCTCTGCTTGTAGCTGTTTGTGCTACTGAGAACCCACTCCTGGAAGCACTGGGTGAGAAGGTCACAGGCACAGTGGGATAATTGATTAAAAGCACTTAGCACAAATGGCTCCAGCACCAGACACAGGTACTTTAATCAAATACCGGGCCACCATTGACCAGCCACCATTGGGCAAACAATAGCAACACACACTTTGTTAAGATTTACTGACTTTACAAATCATACTTCCAGCTCCAGGACAGCAAGAAACCGCAGAAAAATTACACAATATTTGTTAGGTCAGGATATTAAGGGTTACGGGGCAAGGGCGGGTAATTGGACTTGAGGAAACAAATCAGCCATGATCTTACAGAATGGAGGAACAGGCTCCAGGGGCTGAATGGCCTGCTCCCATTTCTAGTTGTCTACGATCACAGTGAGGGCGGATTAACACACCCTGGGGGTTAGTGCGCGTGTGCAGCGGGGGGGAAAAGGGCGCCAAACACCGCGGGTCCATGCGCAGGCCTGGGCGGCTGCTGCCGCCACTGGGTTTTACTCTCTGCTGGCAAAGGGTCACCTGAACTTGGTGCCAGTGGCACAGCATGCCGTGAACACACAAGTGGCTGTCGTTGGCACAACCAGCACCACACGCTCTTACGGGTGCCTTCACCCCCTGTCAGTTACCAGCTTCTCCTCCATTCAGGCTGCCAGCAAGATGGTGGCTGGAGCCCATTGGGAACTTGCTCTGGATTCCCACGCCACTGGCCCTGGAGAGAGCGAGCATGGGCGAAAGACTGTGGTAAGCGCTATTTGGTGTGCCATTCCAGTGGCTGCTGAAGTTTTGCTCATTCTTGGGCGGAAAAAAAAAACACGTGCCTTTTCCAGAGTTTAGTTTTTGACACTAACAGTGTGATTGATTGTTGACCTGTGTCCCACCTAACCAGCCAGCCAGAGATTCCTGGCCTGGTGTTTTATTTCCCTCTATTTCTCCCGCTTTTGTACCCCCATTGGGCTGTTGTCAGCATTCAGTGTTGTCTGAAAAGATTTTGACTCTTTTTCTATCTTATAAAGAAAATATAATAATAATCCTTGCATTTGATACAGCACCTTATTACATCGTTGAGATGTCTCAAAGCACTTCTCTGGATTTTACTGTAGTGTTTTGACTGCTGCATTTGTAGGCAAAATCTGGATCTAAGCGATGTTTGAGTGGCTTCACGGTGATTGCAATGAAAATACCTACCTACCATAAATTTCTATGATTCTTTGGTGGTCATGGACGAGAATATGGTGGCCTGGCTTTCCTGGTTTGTATCTAGAAAGGTTGACTACAGAAATGAAGCTCGTCTACTGGAGTCAATTGCCAGAAAGAGTGAACCCTAGAAATCGAGTGCATCAGTCCGGATGGCACATGTGCCAAAATTCCAGGAACCCATTATACCCAGGACCTTATCTTGTCAGAACCACTGGAAAATCTTGAGATCATTGTGCTTAAGTGTTTAAGTGTTTATCTAGGCTCCCAAGAAAATGCCATGTGGTGATACTGGAGGTCTCACTGGATCCCATCCCACCACTTGCGCTGTTAAATTTGAAAGGAGTTCTGTACTTGTGTGCGCAATTGGCTGCCGCGTTCGCCCACAAATATACAGTCAATTCACTTTACAGTGTGTTCTGTGAAGCGCTTTGGGACGTCCTCCCGACGTGAAAAGCGCTATATCAAATGCAAGGATTATTATTATTGTGGCAGCTACCGAGGACAAAACACTTGATCCAGAATACATCATTACAAGCAACTCTGCTGCTTATCTGAAAAGCATAGCAGTGGCTGGAAGTTTCATGAGTAAAAGACTATCCCACCTCCTTAAATGGTTTCTTCATTTCTTTCTGTGTGCTACAGATAAAGTACATGGTGTCAAATGACAAGTGTCATGTGTTCTGGTGAAAACCTGAATAACAATTCACATGAGTGTAGAGAAAAAATATCATGGATAAGAAACTGTTTAAAATCGAGGTAGTAACTGGGAAATGTTGAATGGGGTCCCATGAGGGCCAGCACTTTAATTCTTATATTTGTTTTATTTCCAGAGCTAAGCATATGCATATTGAAAAACTAATATATTCTTTGAAGAACCAAATTTCTGTACCTTGCTACATTCTTGACTTTAAACTGACCTAACTTTTATCGTTTATCCTTTGCAAACTCCTTCCGCCCACTCTCTCGATTTTGTAAACTCGAGCATGCTACATACCCCTTCCTCACCCACTCCTTCATCAGCGACTGAGCTTTCAGCCACAGTACCTCCATTTCCTGCCAATATCCCCCCACCTTGTATCCCTACAGCTTTCAAAGCCTTTCCTCTTCAAAGTCGATCTCTCCTACCATACCTTCAATCATCTAACCCTGGTTCACACTTTTTTTCAGTAATCCACACCATCCCTGTAAAGTGCTCCCAGGTCATTATTTTACATGAAAGGTTCTACTTAAATGTTACTTCTTTTACATGACTGTCTGCTGAACAGTCATGTGGAGATGTAAATTACTTGCATTATAAATTATTTGCATTTGGGTAGAGGGGGACGCAATATAAATTTTCAGGTGACACAAAAGTAGGGAGAATGGTTCACTGAAAAGAAATGTAAGCAATGCACAGACGAGTGCATTGTGTGGATAGGTGGGAGATTAAATTGAATTATAGAATTATACAGCACAGAAGGAGGCCATTCAGCCCATTGTGTTTGTGCCGGCTCTTTCAAAAGTGCTATTCAAATCAATTCCACTTCCCTTAGCCCTGCAAACGTTCCTCCCCAAATGCAGAAGGGTGTGTAGAAATATATTTTGGGAGAAAGAACAAGAAGAGAAAAATGCAATAATGGTAAAATTTCAAAAGGAGCAGAAGAGCCGACGGACTTAATAATTCAATATAGACCACCATCAGTGGTAGGACCTCCAGTCTCTTCCCCCCCCCCCCCCCCACAAACTTTGGAATTCCATCCCACAGACCCTTCACCTTGCTCCCTCCCTTGCCTCCTTCAAGGCATGTCTCGACCTTCCTCTTCGACCATGCCTGCGGCCACCCTCCTACTCCTGCCCTCCATCCCTCCTAATCCCAACTCCCTTCTTGAGTTCAAATCCCTGATTGTCCAGTGTCTTGGGACATCCTCCCAACGTGAAAGACGATACACAAATGTAATTGTTGTTGTAGGAGCATTTGCAATTTTTTTTCACTAATTAATAGTTCAAGTTGTAGATGTGCACTCTTCCAATTAACTGTATCTTGTACTTTCTATGAGCATAAAACCACAGTTGAAAACTAACAGCGCATCAGTGGAACTTTATTACACCACTGTGCACTCTTAAGTTTGGTTTGGATGAAAAAGATCCTTTGACACATAGGATTGCATCCTTCCAGAAACCCACCCTACCATCACCGCACTGAGCTGTCAGTGTCCAGGCATCAACCACCCTTCCTAACATTAACTGCCCTCTAGTAATCATCCTGATGTTTGTACTGAAATTTAACTTTAGGGCCCTCTGCTATGTTCTGCTATCTTAATCCATCTGAAAATGTTGTTTTGTGTTTCCTTTCTCAATCAAGGCAAACAACGTTTACAACATTATTTTAAGAACTAAGAAAATCGACTTCAAATTTAAAATTGAATTTGTCATTTTGCCAAATTCTGGATTCTGAAATGCTCAATAAATAAATAAATCTATAATGGGGTGGAATTTCTTCATACAGTTGTTCAAAACTAAAAGCTTCTTCTGCTTTCATACTTCCTTAAGTGAATTCTGTTTAGTGTACATTTTAGTTTTGAACACTTTGCAACTGGATCTGGTAATAGTAGATAAGAGTGGGATGGTCATGTTTGTGAATCAAGCAGTTACCAATGCACATAAAGTTCTATTTCATGTGTTGAATGATCGTGTCTGAGCAGCTTTAGGCACCAAACAGTATGTACCTGCGTTTTTATTTTGATAACCTTCATATTTAAATGTCCTCAATAATAATATAATATAATATTCCTTACCTTTTTTATCACCTTTTCTAAACGCCTCAAAGCTCTTCACAAAATATACTGAAGTGAATTGACTGTGTATTTTGTGAGCGAAACGTGGCAGCCAATTGCACACAGCAGCGTCCCACAAACAGTCAGGGATTGAGTGACCAAATTATTATTAATTTTTTTTAAAAAAGGGCTTTATTACCCCAAAAGCAATCTGACAATCGACTAACAACCGGGTTCCTACTTACTGCTGGGTAAACAGAGGCGTGTGGAGAAAGGAAACATGCCCAAGGTTTCGCCTGCCCGGGAATGGAACCCTGGTCCTCCTGCTTGCGAGGCGAGTGCTCTAACCACTGAGCTACAGGACTCCACAACACAACATATGTAATATAACGTCATCCCTTTAATCTTATTTCTCAGTTTCCTTCTTTGTTTCTTTCAGACAATGGAGAGTCAAAGCTTCACGCTCGATAATGAAGATTGGGGTGATGTATTTGCGAATTATTCTGAAACATACAGTTTTGATCAGGGTGCGGTGCCCTGTGCACATTCAGTTAACACAGAATCGGTCAATACTGCGATGGCTGTTATCTACAGCCTGGTCTGCTTGCTCGCTATGGCAGGTAACGTGCTTGTGATGATTGTCATACTTCACAACAGGCGCACAATGTCCTCCACAGACATCTATCTGCTTCACCTGGCAATAGCAGACGTCCTCTTCGCCATCACCTTGCCCTTTTCAGCAGCAGACGTCATAAATGGGTGGCTATTTGGTGACGCCATGTGCAAGATTGTTAGTGTGTTGAAGGAAGTTAACTTTTACAGTGGTATTCTGTTGCTGGCTTGTATTAGCATCGACCGCTTCCTGGCCATTGTCTACTCTGCACGAACAAATAAGCAGAGGAGTCAATTTCTGACCAATGTTGTCTGTGGTGGTGTTTGGCTGTTTGCTATTCTTCTGTCTTTACCGATTCTCGTTAAGGGTGTATTCCGCTCCCCCGATTCCGAAAGAATTCTCTGTTATGAAGTGCTTGATGGTAAATCATCAGCGACGTGGCGAGTAGCCACCAGGTTTCTTCGGCACATAGCCGGGTTCCTCATCCTACTGTCCATCATGCTCTTCTGCTACAGTGTGACCATCAACAGAGTGTTGAAAACAAAAGGATTTCAGAAACAGAAGGCCATGAAGGTTATCATTGCGGTGGTTCTGGCCTTTCTCATCTGTTGGCTGCCGTACAACATCACCGTTTTCATCGATACATTAATAAGAAGCAAAATAATCAATGAGACATGTGAGATGCGCACACATCTGGACAAAGCTTTATTTGTGACTGAAAGTCTGGTATTCCTGCACAGCTGTATTAATCCTATTTTATACACTGTCATTGGGGTGAAATTCCGGAGAAACTTAATCAGAATTTGGGTTACAAAAGGAATCAATAAGTAGAGCACGTTGAAAAAATCCAGCAGATTTGTGCTTAGCTCCTCTAAATCTGGATTTACTTCAACCATAAACTAGACATCTTGTGAAGGATACCATCAGATAGATCAATAAAATGCAGATCCGAGACTTTAAAGATGTTCCCCTACATGATTGCATTAATGCAAGTTATAAGAGATGTTTGAATGAAGAAGGCCTTTTAACCCATTTTGATGCCATCCTTCCAGAATACTTATAATACTATTACAGCATTAAGCCGTAAATGAGTCCAGTGTCCTGGCCTGAACCACCCTTCCTGGCAACCTATTCTAGTTGTTACTTATCCTCTTGGTAAAGAAATGCTTTCTGGTGCCTATCCTTTTACAACCGTAAAGTTTGCCAATGTTGTCTTAGTGCCTCTGAATGCATTGTTCTAAGTTTACTCTCTGAATCTTATATTCCTCCTATCTGGTACCCTCCAAGATGTCTCTTCAAGACTGAAGAGCCCTATATATTATTTCAGCAGTTAGTTAATTTAATATTTTGTGGTATTTTAAACCTAAAGAAATTGAAGTTAAAAAATATTTTGCCACTTGGATTCAAAAGCCCAAATCCATTGCAGTTAAATAAAAAGGGATTAAATTCTGATTGGAACTCAGGGGGAAAAAACATTTTCCAGAAGTTGGGGGTGGCAGGGAGTTCATCCCCAGACGTTTCATTAAGTACAAGAAAAAATAATTATATATTCTGTCCGTGTGATAAATATCATCAATGATAATTGTCACAGCACATACCACAAACTGTTTCCCCTTCCATGGGATAGAGATTCGATTCAGCATTATATGTAGCACCTTTGAAAAAGCTCAATAAAAATGGGAAATACCCTTAGTGTCCGCACTGCCTTTGCAGACTAAGCACGGTAATTGAATTCTACAGGGCGCCCAAAAGGTCATGATATCTACCCTATTATCTTAAAAAAAAGAAAAATATCATAATTTCTTTAAGACTTATTAAACATTATAATGGTATCACAAGCTTTTGGTCACGCTGTATACATGTCAGATACCCAGCTGATGAACACAATTCATTTATTCTGAGACTTTTTGCTTGATTGCTATTAGAGTAGGATTCCAATTTTTTTCTGCTGTCTGTGACGTTTTGATTCCATTTTGACTTTTTTGTTATGTGTTGCTCTTTTTACTGTTTGCTTATTGCTGTTTGTCAGAATAAAACCTCCACAAATTTATTTCATTTTGGCAATATTATTTCTTTTTTATTTATTTTTCTCTTGGTTGAGAAAATGATTTTCTATTGAGAAGGGCCGACGGGCAATTTGGTTGTTCTTGTCTGTTTTCAGTTTTTTTAACGCCTTGGGACGTTCTCCCAATGTGAAAGGCAATATACAAATGTAATTTTGTTGTTGTTCAATGACAACAGTTTCCAGTACAGTGTATGGGATATAAGATGAGTGTCTGAACAGTTCTCCTTCAAGGTTCTGAGCTCCAGAGCATACACAGATGAGGGGTTTCCTTTGGCCCATTTTTGATGTCCAGAGCCAAGAAGTGAGGTGGATTTGAGGGAAAAAGAGAAAGTGGCTGCAGAAAGGAGGGTTCCAGCCTACACTGATCTGTTGTTGAGCATCTTATTATTATTATCTTGGAGGTTATCTCAGCAAGCTCATCTTTTTGCCAAAGCTGCTCACATGACGACCTAGATTAGGAATTGGTGTTGAGGAAGCCTGGTATACGGCATTGGACTCAGACCTCTAGGACAGTGGTGGCCAACCTATTTGGTCGCTCAGCGAAATAAATTTTCTTGATTGAATATTTCTAGATTTGTGCCATAAATTGCCATAAACAAGCCTCTCTACCCCCACACTCTGGAACTCCATCCCACAGTCCCTTCGCCTCGCTTCCTCTCTTGCCTCCTTCAAGGCCGGTCTCAAGACCTTCCTCTTTGATCGTGTCTTCAGTCTCCCTCCCACCTCTCTGCCTTCCCTCAGCCCTAGCCCACCCCACCCCCATGCTCGGGTGACTCGGGTCCTGACCCCTGACTGTCCAGCGCCTTTGGATGTCCTCCTGACATGAAAGGCACTCTATAAATATAATTTTGTTGTTGTAAATTAAGAAATATTCAATCAAGAAAAGACTGGAAACAAAATATTGATTTGAAACAGACTCACCTGGACTAGTGTAAATGTTCATTAGGCCACTTCCAGCCCACAGGCCATGGGTTGGTCACCCTCCTCTAGGACATCAGGGTGGCTGGCAGGTCACAAACTGTCCTGCGGTAGGTCCTTCCACCATGATAAAGGCAGATGTATGTCAAATAGCTCATGAGGAAACTTTGAACTGTGCTACATAAGGGAAAATTGCTATTGATCTGTGTTTCAAATCCCAATACAGATAAACTTTAATTTGCTGAACTGAGCACATTGGGTTATTTAAAATTTTCAAAATAGTGAAAGAGCATTTTCCTGTCCAAACTGCTGAATGAATGCAATGTTTACTAAAATAAGGAAGTTGCTGAAAGAAGTACAAATTCATTATTTAATCATTTATATGACTGAATTATCTCTATTTATAATCTGTAAATTCCAGGACACGGAAAACTGCATTATAACAAAACTCCCCTGAACTTGGTGGCATTCAATTGAGGGTCATCTGAGGTTAAAGAAAATCAAGCTTCCATTTGATATTAATCCTCCAACAATCTTGGATTTGATATAATGCCTTAAACGTCAGGAGGACATCCCAAAGGGCTTCACAGGATTTACTGTAAAGTGTAGTGACTGTGTATTTTGTAGGTAGGTACGGCAGCCAATTGCACACAGCAATGTCACACAAACATCCATGAAGTGAATGACCAATTTTACTTCAGTTATTGTTCGCAAAGTCATTAGGAGAAACTTCCTTCTCTTTTTGAGTTGTGCAATGGGATCTTTAACAAAAACTTGCATTTGTATAGCATGCTTCACACAGGTAATGTCTCAAAGCACTTGGGCAGGTAGATGGGATCTTGATTTAACATCTCGTACAGCATTAAAACATTTCAAAGTGTTTCATAGGGAATTCTGTCAAGTGTGTCTTTTTGAGCAAATGTGTTAGCATTCTCATACACCAGGTCCTACAAGCGCCTACATACTGACTGAGACTAGTTGATAGAGTAGGTTTATTTAATAATTGTGAATTAAATTGTCATTATTTTGGACTTGCCAGGTGGACTGGAAAGCCTTATCTGCTCCTGTCTATTCCGCTGTTCCTAAATAAGAATCAGTCAGCTATATGCGGACGCATGTCTGTGGCATGGTAACCGAGTTAGAGACATAAGATACATGAAGCAATGATGCAAGATAAAGCACTGGTAATATCCAACAGGGTTCCTGTCTTATGAAATCACTTTTGCTGTGTTGTGACATTCCACCTTCCCATGGGCCTCACACATTTCATTCTTTCACAATCCTGTTTGTCTTTCACTATTGAAGATAGAAATGTGGTCATTGGTCCTTAGCACATTCTCTTTTCTTTCTCCTAAACTCAAAATTCCCTGTCCTACACACTCTCCTTTGTCCTCCCTGCATTGGCACTGTGTTGAAATCACTAGAGTGTCACCTTTTAATGCATTCCTTTCCAGAAACCTCAACACTACAGGATGTCTTTCCTACCTCAATCTTCTTTCACTTCTGTAATCCACTGGCTTTAGCAAACAAAGTGTGATGTTGCCTAACTTCTGCATCACTTAAGTTCTCACCTACCTTTTCCAGTTGTGATGGGTTCCTGTACTCTAGCTCTTGGGCCTTACTCAATTGAAACAAACCCACAGCTCTGCAGTTATGCAGAGATATAACAGAGTACAAAACTGTCTTATTGTAGAGAGAAGGCTGATAGCAAAGACATGGACAGTTTTTTTTTAGAAAAATACTGTATAGTTTTGGTTCCACTAACAATTGCAAAATTAGGAATAGTTTACCCGCATAGGAGAGAGTCAGTGTGGTACCAATAGAGTTCAATTCACATTAAGAGAAAAATAAACAGTCTCTCATTGTAAGAACACAAGTTATGAGGGTTTTATTTTGATCAACAGCAAAAAGTAAACATTAAAACAATAACTTGCATTTTTATTTGCCTTGTAATTCCCAAAGAATCATTAGGAGAGTTGATGAGGGCAATTTTCAAAGAGGGTTAAGTTACAGCTTTGGTTAATACTTGGAGATTAGTAACAATAATGTGAATGAAAGAAATGTTCAATAGTATAAACCTTCATGTAAACCTGCACATCGCTGCTGTTTATTTCATTCCAAGAAAGTCCAACCATTTTTCATCTCTTGTATCAATCGCCGAACTAACTTATCCAATGATATTCACCGCAAGCACTCTTAGTGCAGGTTCAGGACAGAGCAGGAAGGAATGTGATGGAGAGCGAATGCAGCTCTGTACAAAATCCTTAACTTTACATTGCAAACAGCTTGATTCTGAGAATGCTATGAATGGATCCCATACATCATTTATGGTCGTTGTTCTGAAGCAGCAAAGCAAAATGTTTTGTTAACAGTGTTAGGAGTCAGTCCAATAGATAATTGAGTCCACAAGCTACATCTGCAGCAGCTCGAGCTTAGCATTCGTTGAGTATCAAGCCACGACCGACAGACTGCCTATTTACCCTAAAAGTCCAACCCTGCACACAATACCTGTTTCTTCACTTCACATTTGGAAATGTATATTCAATCCATTTTCCAATATCTTACATCAGTAATTACCAAGGGTCCGATGGCTCCATCACAAGCTGTCTAGATTGTAGTTGAAGTGAGTCCACTTTCAGAGGTGGTTGAGACAGATCTCCCATATTTTACTATTGGACCTTGCTTAATAATTCCTTTAGTGACCAAGATTTTGATCAGGTTTCTCCTGAATTTCACCCCAATGAAAGCATATAAAATGGGATTAATACAGCTGTGCAGGAATCCCAGACTTTCAGTCGCAAATAAAGCTTTGTCAAGAGGATTGCGCATCTCACATGTCTCATTGATTATTTTGCTTCTTATTAATGTATCGATGAAAACGGTGATGTTATACGGCAGCCAACAGATGAGAAAGGCCAGAACCACCGCAATGATAACCTTCATGGCCTTCTGTTTCTGAAATCCTTTTGTTTTCAACACTCTGTTGATGGTCACACTGTAGCAGAAGAGCATGATGGACAGTGGGATGAGGAACCCGGCTATGTGCCGAAGAAACCTGGTGGCTACTCGCCACTTCGCTGATGATTTACCATCAAGCACTTCATAACAGAGAATTCTTTCGGAATCGGGGGGGCGGAATACACCCTTAACGAGAATCGGTAAAGACAGAAGAATAGCAAACAGCCAAACACCACCACAGACAACATTGGTCAGAAATTGATTCTTCAGCTTGTTTGTTCGTGCAGAGTAGACAATGGCCAGGAAGCGGTCGATGCTAATACAAGCCAGCAACAGAATACCACTGTAAAAGTTAACTTCCTTCAACACACTGACAATCTTGCACATGGCGTCACCAAATAGCCACCCATTTATGACATCTGCTGCTGAAAAGGGCAAGGTGATGGCGAAGAGGACGTCTGCTATTGCCAGGTGAAGCAGATAGATGTCCGTGGAGGACATTGTGCGCCTGTTGTGAAGTATGACAATCATCACAAGCACGTTACCTGCCATAGCGAGCAAGCAGACCAGGCTGTAGATAACAGCCATCGCAGTATTGACCGATTCTGTGTTAACTGAATGTGCACAGGGCACCGCACCCTGATCAAAACTGTATGTTTCAGAATAATTCGCAAATACATCACCCCAATCTTCATTATCGAGCGTGAAGCTTTGACTCTCCATTGTCTGAAAGAAACAAAGAAGGAAACTGAGAAATAAGAATAAAGGGATGACGTTATATTAGATATGTTGTGTTGTGGAGTCCTGTAGCTCAGTGGTTAGAGCACTCGCCTCGCAAGCAGGAGGACTAGGGTTCCATTCCCGGGCAGGCGAAACCTTGGGCATGTTTCCTTTCTCCACACGCCTCTGTTTACCCAGCAGTAAGTAGGAACCCGGTTGTTAGTCGATTGTCAGATTGCTTTTGGGGTAATAAAGCCCTTTTTAAAAAAAAATTAATAATAATTTGGTCACTCAATCCCTGACTGTTTGTGGGACGCTGCTGTGTGCAATTGGCTGCCACGTTTCGCTCACAAAATACACAGTATATTTTGTGAAGAGCTTTGAGGCGTTTAGAAGAGGTGATAAAAAGGTGCTATATCAAACGCAAGGATTATTATTATGGTGCTCCCCTCCCCTGCCCCATGTGAAGGGCACTATATAGATGCAAGTTTTTATTGTTGCTAAAGTTCACACAAAAATCAGTGCTTTATTTGTAGTAACAACAATAACTTGCATTTATATAGCGCACTTCACGCCCTGTACATGTACATCCCTAGTGGCTAGATCAGTTGAGCACCGCCAGAGAATGAGTCATTTCTGGCTTTTAAATGGTACTGGATCTTCTCAATGCCTCATTGTTTCAAAATTGATAAAGTCCCACCGGGTATAAAAGTAAATTAATGAAGGGAGGCTGAGCTTTACTAGTTCCCGGGAGAACCAGCAAAGCTAGGTAGCTCCACAATAATTCAAGGCATGGTTGAATCTTGACCAAACTGTTTGCATCATCAGTGAGACTTGGAGGTGTAGACATGTTCTTAACTTTGCAAGCTATGCACCGAATGGCACTCATGATTTACAAAGTCTTCATTCAGCCCCATCGTTATGTTGTTTCATGAAGTTCACAAGCTCTAGGAGCCACTTTTCTTTCCTCCAAAAGCCTCAAGATGACTAAAGAATATTTTACGGGTTCTGACGAAAGGTCATCGAACTGAAAAGTGAACTCACTTTCCTCTCTCCATAGATGCTGCCTGACCTGCAGTGTGTTCCCTGCGACTTCTGATTTTATTAAATAATATCTTAAATTATTGATTGATCTGAGCGGCGGTCAAATTTGCCATGGAGAGATGTTAAAGTGCAGGTGGATGTTAAAAAACCCAGAGCAGTTTTCAAAGAAGAAGGGAGTTTTTCCCAGTGTCCTTGAGAACAATCCACCACATAAAATGCCTTAATTGTGGTTTAACGGTTGCTTGCTGCGTGCAAAATGAATGGCACGTTTATTAAAAGTACACTTGACAGCTAATGCATGGGAAGGCTTTGAGGTATTACAACAATAACAACAAAATTACGTGTGTAAAGCACCTTTCACATCAGGAGGACATCCCAAGGGTCTGGACAGAGTTTCGGACCCGAGCTGGGGGTGGGGCAGGGGGTGAAGCAGGGTGAAAGAAAGCACGGTCAAAGAGGAGGGTCTTGAGATGGGTCTTGAAGGAGGCAAGGGAGGGGTTGAGGTGGAGGGACTCCAGAATGGAGTTCCAGAGGATGGGGGCAGAGTGACTGAAGGCCCACCTGGCAATAGTGGGGCAAGCGAGGCAGAGGACATGAGGCAGGCAGGAGCCCGCTGATTGGAGAGAGTGGGGAGGATGGTAGGGGTTTGGGAGGTCGCAGAGGTCGGGGGAAGCAAGACCATGGAGGGCTTTGAAGGTGAGGACCAGGATCTTGAACCGTATCCTCTGTGTGATGGGAAGCCAATGGAGTTGGGCGAGGATGGGGGTGATAGGGTCACGGAGCCCGGTGCGGGAGAGGACATGGGCTGCAACATTGTTGGCACTAAATAAAGGGGTATTAAAATCCACTATCAAAGTGGCTTTTAGTCTAATGCCTCATTGGAGGACCAGCATTGTTTAGATCAGGGGGTGTTCAACCTTCTGGTTGCTGAGGGCAGGATGCCCTTTGAGGAATGTCCGCAGGCCCCACATAAGCAATATTTTTGTGTTTTCCTTTCAAAAATATAACGTAACATTTGTGGGTTATGGGGGGAGGGGGCAGGCCGGCTGTGATGGGGGGAGGGGGCAGGCCGGCTGTGATGGGGGGAGGGGGCAGGCCGGCTGTGATGGGGGGAGGGGGCAGGATGAACAAACATCAGAATCTGCAGTCAAGACATCAATCACTGCAATGATTTATTGATAAAGATGCCGCATTAGATACAGTTATTAAGTATTGCTCAGGTAATGATACAGTTCATAAACCTAACCATTAATTCAATGACTTGTGTTTGTTTGAGACTAATCTTCCTCTTCCAAATGGCATTTCTCATCAGTGGTTCTTTTCTATATTTTATAAAATTGGTATCTTTTTCCAGTTTCAAAATTTAGGTAAATCATATTTGCCTCGAAATACAGTTACTAAACTTACCAACAATAACACTTTGCACTGTATCCTGGCAGGTATTGTTAAGAAATTATTGGAAGCAAGTGGATTGGAAAAGCGGTGAATATAACAATTCATAAAAGGAGCACAAAATTACTCTAGGAATTAGAGGATAAGATGCATGATATCTACAGCAGGTAAAGCATTAGAAGTCTTTCTGAAGGAGAGATTCTGAGAGAAATGGCATTTAAGGTAATGTAATGGTAATGAGGTAATGCCCATAAAATCTAACAAACCTCTGATAACAGAACAAGCAGATGAATACAGAGATTTGGATAGATTGGGATGGTTGGCTAACGAGTGATAACTATTATTTAATGTGTTAAATGCAGAGTCATGAGGCTCGGAAGAGGAAAAACATTGGGAACATTTCAAAGCAAATGCAAAATTTATGCGAGAGGGTCAGGAATCATCCAATATGTAACTGAGTATCTACAGATTATACCACATGTGTTGCTCATCCAAATGCTGTTTAATTATAATACAGTATTTCTTAATGAAGGAACAAAGCCTAAAATGAAGCCCTTACTCAGATAGGTGTGGACTGTAAATCTATTAGCACTTGCCACTGAAGCTTTGGATCCCAGATTGTGGTCTCTCGATCCCACTTTACAGGGTGATTTAATTAAAATGATATCCAGTAAAATGACAACTGAAAGACCACACCTAATGTTCCTTAATTAAAGAATGCAATGTGTGGAGGAACACCAGCAAACCCACATTCCCATTTCTTCGTTCTATTCGTAGAATGTTTTTTCCATCCATTCTTCAACATCTTGCAGCTGAGATGGGCTCCATCACAAGCTGTCTAGATTGTAGTTGAAGTGAGTCCACTTTCAGAGGTGGTTGAAGCAGATCTCCCATATTTTACTATTGGACCTTGCTTAATAATTCCTTTAGTGACCAAGATTTTGATCAGGTTTCTCCTGAATTTCACCCCAATGAAAGCATATAAAATGGGATTAATACAGCTGTGCAGGAATCCCAGACTTTCAGTCGCAAATAAAGCTTTGTCAAGAGGATTGCGCATCTCACATGTCTCATTGATTATTTTGCTTCTTATTAATGTATCGATGAAAACGGTGATGTTATACGGCAGCCAACAGATGAGAAAGGCCAGAACCACCGCAATGATAACCTTCATGGCCTTCTGTTTCTGAAATCCTTTTGTTTTCAACACTCTGTTGATGGTCACACTGTAGCAGAAGAGCATGATGGACAGTGGGATGAGGAACCCGGCTATGTGCCGAAGAAACCTGGTGGCTACTCGCCACGTCGCTGATGATTTACCATCAAGCACTTCATAACAGAGAATTCTTTCGGAATCGGGGGGGCGGAATACACCCTTAACGAGAATCGGGAAAGACAGAAGAATAGCAAACAGCCAAACACCACCACAGACAACATTGGTCAGAAATTGACTCCTCTGCTTATTTGCTCGTGCAGAGTAGACAATGGCCAGGAAGCGGTCGATGCTAATACAAGCCAGCAACAGAATACCACTGTAAAAGTTAACTTCCTTCAACACACTGACAATCTTGCACATGGCGTCACCAAATAGCCACCCATTTATGACGTCTGCTGCTGAAAAGGGCAAGGTGATGGCGAAGAGGACGTCTGCTATTGCCAGGTGAAGCAGATAGATGTCTGTGGAGGACATTGTGCGCCTGTTGTGAAGTATGACAATCATCACAAGCACGTTACCTGCCATAGCGAGCAAGCAGACCAGGCTGTAGATAACAGCCATCGCAGTATTGACCGATTCTGTGTTAACTGAACGTGCACAGGGCTCCGCGTCAGGATTATAAAAGTAATCATCAGAATAATTCTCAAAAGCATACCAAGTTTCATTGCTGCTCATTATGAGTTGACTCTCCATTGTCTGAAAGAAATTTGGAAATGAGAATGAGCTGGTGATTTTATAACAGGTTTATGTTGAAGAAGAGTTCTGCAAAGCATCAAGTGATGTGTTCAGGGCCAATATGATCATGGTGGTTTTTAAAGCTCCCTGTTGTGCCAAATATAAAGTATAGCTCCACACAGCAGAGGAGCTCTTAATTCATCCGTCTCAAGGTTGTAGCTTCCAATCTCTGTGTTTCTCCCAAGCCTTTCACACGTTTGAGTTTCCTTTCCAGGTGTTGTTGCCTGGCAGTTGAGCACTAATTAGAGGCATTGTGGTGCTTGTTGACCTGTGTAATCTGCATCTTCAATAATACTTAGAAGTATTGGTGACTTCAGTGTTGCTGCCCCCTCTCTAATAGTTAGTGTGGCCCTAACTAGGCAGCTACAGTGCTGCACAATTACACCATCTCTCCTCTCATCTCAACCTTCACGGCGCTGTCCTTGACTGATTCAGATCGTACCTCTCACACCGACCGCCTCCTCTTCATCTCCACAAACGGTTTCTCCTCTAGACCCCGCATGGTGTTCCTCAGGGCTCTGTCCTTGTTCCCCTCCTCTTCAATAGCTATATGCTCCCTCTTGGTGACATCATCTGCAGACATGGGGTCAACTCCCACATGTATGCGGATGACACCCAACTCTACCTCTCTGCCTCCACCCTTGACTCCAGGACCACTGCTGTCCTGACAGAATGTCTGTCAGACATCAAGTCCTGGATGAGAGCGAACTTTCTTCAGTCACTTTCTAACTTTCTTCCTTCACACCTCAGGCGCTGACAGCATCACCATCCATGGTTGCACACTCCCCTCACTGAGCCAGTCTGGAACCTTGGCGTCTTGTTTGATCCTCAACTGTCCTTTCTACCCCACATCTGTGCCATGACCCGCTCTGCCTTCCCCACCTCCGCAACATCGCCCAACTCCAACACTGTCTCACTCCGCAGCCCCCAAGACCCTCATATACGCCTTCATTATATCAAGGATTAACTGTGCAAACTCCCTGCTTGTTGGCCTCCCCAACTCCTCCCTCCATCGGCCGCAGATCATCCAGAACTAACTCTGCAGCCCGTGTCGTCTCCTGCACCAGACTCCGCGACCCTATCACCCCCGTCCTCGCCCGACTCCACTGGCTTCCCATCACACAGAGGATACAGTTGAAGATCCTGGTGCTCACCTTCAAAGCCCTCCATAGCCTCGCTCTCCCCCCTCTGTGACCTCCTAACCCCCAACCATCCTGCTCACTCCCTCCGCTCAGTGGGATCCTGCCTGCTTTACGTCCCCTGCCTCGCTCGCCCCACTCTTGGCGGGCGGGCCTTCTGCCACTCTGCCCTCACCCTCTGGAACTCCATCCTGCAGTCCCTCCACCGTGTCCCCTCCCTTCCCTCCTTCAAGACCCATCTCAAGACCCTCCTCTTCGACTGTGCTTTCAATCTCCCTACTTCCCCCCCTGCCCACCACCCTCCCTGATCCCGACCTCCAGCTCGGGTCCAAATCTCTGACTGTCCAGTGCCTTGGGACATCCTCCCGATGTTTACACGTGTCATTTTGTTGTTGTTGTTCTTGTTATAATTTGTCTCTCTTGATGAGACATAGAATCATAGACATTTTCAACTTTTTTGACAGCCCTTTCCACTTACACTGACACTTTCAAGGACTTGTGTACATAGCTGCATTCCCAAGTCCCTTTGCTCTCTGCTCCTTGCTATACACTACCATTGATTATATAATCACCTCATTTTCTTTCTGCCAGAATGAATAATCTCACATTTCGCTTCATTAAACTTCATTTTCCACTGATTTGTGCATTGCGTTAATCTATTTAAATCCTCCTGCGTTCTCTTGCCATCCTCTTCCCTATTCACTGTACGTCCTAGCTTGGTATCATCTGCTAACTTTGACATCAAACTCCCTGCATCTAAGTCAAGGTCGCTAATATATACAAAAAATACATTTCCCTGTGTCACTTCACTAAGTACCTTCTTCCAACAGGAAAATCATCTATTTAGCCTTCCTTTTGTATTAAAATCCCTCATAATCTCCAACCCTGTTTATTGGAAGTCCACCTCTCTACATATACCATCCACTTCAGTAAATGATTTTTACGTCCCCCGCTTTTTTAAAGTTTTTGCCCTTGCACATTGTCATTCTTTCCCTTTATTCACACTGTATTTCTCCGCCTCCGAAAGCATGTCACTCTCTGACCTCTCAGCGTCAGAGAGTAAGTAGGTTTTAATATCTGTATTACAAAATGTTACTAGGGAAGTTAACAGATCTTAGCTCAGTAAAGATGACATAATGTGATTGCCACCAACTGCTGAGTTAAGTCTGGTTTGGGTGACTCCCCAGATTTGGGTTTATTTCCCCAGTCCAGTAATACAACTGTTATTAATTTAAAGCACAATGTTAGTCATCAAAGCACTTTTCTGCTTTTAGAAAATAAACCAGGCAAAGGCCAACTGAACCAGAAATAGACTTATATAAACAATATATAACACACAACATTCAGTTATTAGCCGTGACTTCGAACATGTCCATAAATTCCAAGCGCCCCGTTTGAAAGAATTGCAATCCTTTATAGGGAAGCAGGATCTGCCCTAATCTAGTACAGGTTCTGTTTCTGAGGATGGTATCCCCTAGCAGCTATGTTCTCGACCCTCCTGAGCTGAAATTAACTTCCAAACAAAAGTTTTCAGACGACTCTAGCAAACGCCCTTCCTTACGTACAGGAAGTCCTGTAGTCCTGTAGCTCAGTGGTTAGTGGTTTGCAAGCGAGAGACCTGAGTTCAATTCCAGGCAGAGGGCCAAACCTTGGGCAAGTTTCCTTACTCCACACAGAGCCTAATAATAATCCCTCCAAAACAAAAAACAATAATAAATTGGTCATTTTCAATCTACGACTGTTTGTGGGACATTGCTGTGCGCAATTGGCTGCCGCGTTCGCCCACAAATATACAGTCAATTCACTTTACAGTGTGTTCTGTGAAGCGCTTTGGGACGTCCTCCCGACGTGAAAAGCGCTATATCAAATGCAAGGATTATTATTATTATTATTACAGCACAGGACATTGTAGATACAAAATCAGTGCAGATATCACGGGTGTAGTGCATGTGTGTCTCTCTCTCTTCAAGTCCACATACTAATAATCTTTACATTTGATATAGAGCCTAAACACCTAAAGTGTTTCACGGAATATATTGTAAAGTGAATTAACTGTATTTTGTGGACAAAATGCAGCAGCCAATTATGCACAGCAGTGTCCCAGAAACTGCCATGGAGTGAGTGACCAATTTTATTCAGGGGACCAGGGCACTGGGAGAAACTCCATTCTCATTTCAAATAACGTCCAGCGGTTTAACAAGGATGGCATATTTCACACGTTTTACCAAACTTATGATGGTCAGTCTATTCATCTTACACTCTCTCTTATTACAGCCACAATAAAGACTTACACTTACACAGCACTTTTAATAATAATAATAATCCTTGCACTTGATACAGTGCCTTATCACATCTTCGAGGGGTCTCAAAGTGCTTCACAGAATATACTGTAAAGTGAATTGACTGTATATTTTGTGGGCGAAATTTTTTTATATATGTAAACCAATAAAAATTTAATGTGGCACAAATGCCTTGAAATGCTTCACCCAATTCATAGGGAGGACTGAGCAGGGAGAAAAGGAAAGATACCAAAGCCATGGTCAAATTATCCTTGCATTTGATAGAGAAACCTGTATTTGCTGTCATATGTAGTGACTATGTATTTATAGGCAGTTTGCATGCTTCAAGGTCCCATAAACAGCCATGAAGAGAATAAGCAATTTATCTAGAAGATTCTAGGTTGAAACACCAGGAAAAAAATCCCTTTTTTTGCAAATATTTTGCAATATCTTTAAACACCCATCAAACACACAGACCAGACTTTTCAGTTCAACAACAGAAATTATATTTATATAGCGCCTCTCACATCAGGAGGATGTTGGACAGTCGAGGGTTTGCGCCTAAGTTGGGGCTTGGATTCAATTGGGGTGGGAATATTGGAGTGAGAAAGGTACAGTCAAAAGGATGGAATTTAACATCTCACCCAAAGAAAGCATCTCAAACAAAGTGGCGCTTTCCTATTAGTCTAGTATTTCACTGGAGCATCAGCTGAAATAGCTCAGAGTCCCTGATGTGAGGCTTGAAGCTGCAATCTTCTGACCCAGATGTGAGAGCACAAGTGACTGAAGGTACAACTACTAGGAACAAACGCCCATTCATTTAAAAAAAAGGATTAAATTACAATTGGTCACAACAGCTCGATATTTACAGTTAACCCTCTTTTATATGTTATGAAAAAGCAAATGGTAAAATGGTTCTTAAGGAATCTGATAAAGTGCTAAAAGAAAATAATTTACATACCTTTCTGTAAGAAATGTGTCTCTGCCAATCTGTATGTTGACAAAAGGGTTGTCTTGACTAGATGGTGTGAGTGACAGGAGGAGAGTTAGCTCAGCAGTGGAGCAAGCACTACAGTGAGAGGAAAACACAGAGTTTGTCCTCAAATAGCCTTGATGGTATTCTGCCACGTCAACTTAATTTCGTAACTCAGCAAGTTACTTGTAATGGAAACATGGAGAGACCCTACCAGAAGTGACTCAAGTCCTGTGGACAAAGACGCTCAGAGATCTGTTGGTACAATATTACACACTACGGGTGGGAAGTCAGTATCTGAACCACAATGTCACAATCACTGGCGATTTTGCTGGAATATTAAGTTTTAAACAACAGGTGTTTAACATGTTCTTCCTCTTTCTATTTAATGGTCTCTTGCGATCTCTCTCACCCCTCTGCCATGAAGGTGTATCACCAGTAACAGGAGGAATAGGAAGTACTCTTAAACCCTCAGCCATTGGTTGAAAGCAGTTATGAGCTATGATAAGGTATATGTGGAGTCCTATATCTTAGGAATCAGAGCACTGGCCTTGCACACGAGCGAACCCAAGTTTGATTCCTGGGCAGAGCGAAACCTTAGGCCTTACTCAACATGGTTTTTACTAGCAGTAAGTAGGAACCCAGTTGTTAGTTGATTGGCAGATCACTTTTCTTGGCGTAATAATCCCTTTAAAATAAAAAAATTTGGTCACTCAATCCACGGTTGTTTGTGGGACGCTGCTGTGCGTAATTGGCTGCTGCGTTTCGCCCACAAAATATACAGTCAATTCACTTTACAGTACATTCTGTGAAGCTATTTGAGATGTCTAGAAGACATGATAAGGTGCTATATCAAATGCAAGGATTCAAAAGTTTTTTTTGTTATTAAAATAAAATGAAGGTCTGCCAGAGATGCTTAATGAGTATTTTGCCTCAGTTTTTAAAGAAGATAGTGTTAGTGAAATATTGAGTCTATAATAGGAGGATGTGCAGCAATTAGAAGGGAGAACTATAGGAAAGGAAGTGGTAGTAAGAAATTCATGGAACTCAAAGAGGACAAGTCACTGGATCCTGATGGCAGCGTTCAAGAATGGAGTTAGACTGGAGGATAGCTAATGCAACACCTCTGTTTAAATAGCGAGAACCCAATCAGCCAAGCAGTTATAGACCAGTCAGTCTAATGTCCATAGTGAGCAGATGTTTAGACGCATTAATACGGGATAATATTAATACTTAGAATGACATGGGTTGATTAAAGAGAGCCAGCATGGATTTATAAGCAACAGCAACCAAATTACATTTACACAGCGCCTTTCATGTCATGAGGACGTCCCAAGGCGTTGGACAGTTAGGGATTTGGACCCGAGCTGGGGGTTGGGATCAGGAGGGGTGGGAGGATAGGGGTAGGAGAGTGGCCGGTCAAAGAGAAGAGTCTTGAGAGGTGCCTTGAAGGAGATAAGGGAGGGAGTAAGGTGAAGGGATTGTGGGGTGGAGTTCCAAAGGGTGGGGGCAGAAAGGCTGAAGGCTCAACCGCTGAGGTGGGGCGGGCTGGGTGGGGATGTGGAGCAGGTTGGAGTTAAAGACAAGTATTGGTTGACAAATCTATTTGAGTTCTTTGAAGAAATAACCAAGAGAATAGAATGGAGTCTCCAAGTATTGGCTCTTGCCAAACACTTTCAGGGATTAAGTGAGCAGAGTGAGTCCCTCGAGAATGAGCACTCCATTCCAGGCAAATGGAAATGTCCGTGCTTATGTGGAACTCTCGGTAATATGGTTTGGAAGCTCTTAAACATGCTGGTGTGTTTCTGTGTTTCGGAAGCTCTCCGAGATGCTGCCCTGCATGAAGGGCACTATGTAAATTGCTCATCGTTGTTGAATGTGTCGGACCAAAGCTGACCGAAACAAATTGGTCATATTTGATGAAAGATGTCGGTAATTGCATTGACAATGCTGCCAAAATAACAAAGCCATCCTATTTATCGGAAACATTTTGTCTTTTGGATTACGCAATGATATTTCATCACAATTTCAATAGAATTGCCAAATTAAATCTAGGAAGTTTACTGCCAATGGCGTCAAGAAGGTTTCCTTTACACAGATACCTGATATCGGAGCTGACACACAGGCTATAGCACTGGTTGTTTGTAAACTCTAGTGACTAGCTTGTTGTCTAGCTTTAATGAACAGCACATGTTAGAGATGATTTAGACCTGGGGAAACTGTAGAAACGGATGTCCCACCCAAAATGTTTCACAGCCTTAGCCTGAAGACCATTGCTTAAAGCGTAACATTTGGCAGAATTTTAGAAAATTCTGAATTTCACACCCAATTTGGAAGTCACTTCCTGAAAAGGATCCAGCTTCCAACAACAACAACAAAATTACATGTGTAAAGCGCCTTTCACGTCGGGAGGACTTCCCAAAGCGCTGGACAGACAGAGTTACGGACCTGAGTTGAGGGTCGGGGTGGGGGAGGGGATGGGCAGGGAGGTCGAAAGCACGGTTGAAGAGGAGGGTCTTGAGGTGGGTCTTGAAGGTGGCGAGGAAGGCGGCGAGTCAGAGGAACTGCGGGATGGAGTTCCAGAGGGTGGGGGCAGAGTGGCTGAAGGCCCACCCGCCGATAGTGGGGAGAGCGAGGTGGGGGACATAAAGCAGGCCGGAGTCCGCTGAGCAGAGGGCGCGAGCAAGATGGTAGGGGGTTAGGAGGACAGAGACGTAGAGGGAAGCAAGACCGTGGAGGGCTTTGAAGGTGAGCACCAGGATCTTGAACTGTATCCTCTGTGCGATGGGAAGCCCGTGGAGTCGGGAGAGGATGGGGGTGATAGTGTCGCGGAGCTTAGTGTGGGAAAGGACACGGGCTGCAGAGTCCTGGATGATCGGCAGCCTGTGGAGGGAGGAGTTGGGGAGGCCGACAATCAGTGAGTTTGCATAGTCGAGCCTCGATTATAAAATTCCAGATTAAGACTAGATTTAGGGGTTCTCTCTGTGAAACTGTTCACATTTGTTCTGTTATTCCTGATGTCTTGCAGTGAGTTAGAAGTGAGGAACTACAAGAAACAGTAATGTATTGATGACAGAAAAAGTGGATCTAATGAATAAGAACAAGTGCCATGCAATTACATAGAATTACATAAAATGCTACAGCACAGAGACAGGCCATTCAACCAACATTTGACCATTTGATCTGTGCCGGCGTTTACCTTTCACATGAGTCTCTACCCCTCCTAAGATCCTCGGCCATAGCCCTCTATTTTCTGCAGCACTCTGAGATGCTACTCCATGTGATGGACACTATATAAAAGCAAATTATTGCTGCTCTCCCTCATCAAATTTCCTCTAAATACACTGATGTGCTTCCTGAAACAGCTGCCCTACACAACGGTATATGGTGGACTGTTTGATAACATTCTGTATAAATAATCAAGAGAATTGACAAGTTAGGTCGTGGACGATACTTCCCTCTTGATGAGGGATCCAAAACAAGGGGACACCACCTTAAAATCAGAGTTAGGATATTCAAAGTGAAATCAGAAAGACGCAAAAGTAGTGAAATGATGTCTGGTTCGTGAGCCAGGCGGGTCCGCAGGATTCCAGGGCACTGCTGATGCGGTCCAGGAGATGTCCGGTTCGACCCCCAGCTGTCCTTCCTTCCCCACATCCAGTCCCCGACCAGGACTGCCTTCCTCTACCTCCGCCACATTGCCGGCCTTTCACATCGAGAGGACGTCCCATATAAGTGCCGGTTGTTGTTGTAAAATGCTGTACACTGTCCAGCGCCTTGGGACGTCCTCCCAACGTGAAAGCCGCTATACAAGTGAAATCTTGTTGTTGTTGTTGTGAGGGAGCAGTGCTGGCTGAGTTTGTGGCCTCAATGGCTCACTGTGAGATATCCCCAGCCTGCTTACCTTACATGAACAGACAAAACAACACACTTTTTTTGGTTTCCTGTTAGGTAACACTTCAGATTGCAGGCAAAGGACTAACTTTGCATGTTATGTGCAAGTGTATCAGCCTGGCTCAGTGGTAGCATTCTCGCCTCTGAGTCGAAAGGTTGTAGGTTTAAGCACCACATCGGGACTTGAACTCACATCGTCTCTAAGATGACACTCCAATGCAGTGCTCAGGGTGTGTTACATTGTCAGAAATGCCACCATTCGGATGAGATTTTAAACTGAGGTCCCATCTACATGTTCAGGTGGACCTTAAAGATCCCATAGCACTATTTGAAAAGGGAGTTTCTCCCGGTGTCCTGGTCAACAATCCCCCAAATAAAATTAGCATCAACCAATTTGCATTTATATAGCGCCCTTCAGATGGGTAGGGTCTCGGAGAGCTGTTTTAAGGCTGTCTGTGGGACATTGCTGTGTACAAATTGGCTGCCATGTATATCCTGCAAAGCGCTTTGGGACATCCTCCTGACGAAAAAGGCGCAACGCCAAATGCAAGGATTATTATCAAATCTAATTTTCCTCTTCTACTTTTGACTCCAGGTTCATTGATTTTCTGCTTGCTGTCAAGGGCTGAATGAACCGCAATTTCCTACAACTAAACTCCAATTTATCCCAAATTCCACCACCTATTACCCAGGCCTTGTCTGGCTCCCAGCGGATCAAGGTCCTCACGCTCACCTACAATAATCTTCACGGTCTAGCACCTCACTATCTCTCCAATCTCCCCCCTCCATTGCCTCCTTCAAGACCCATCTCAAGACTCTCCTCTTCAACTATACTTTCGATCTCCTTGCCATCCACCCTCCCCCAATCCCCAGCTCGGGTCCGAAACTCTGTCTGTCCAGTGCCTTGCGACGTCCTCCTGACGTGAAAAGCGCTTTACACGTGTAATTTTGTTATTGTTGTCCTTCCATTCCCTCAATCATTTAGGTTGCCCTCCTCCGTATCTTCACAATTTCTCCAATATCCTTTTTGTTCTGCGACGACCAGAACTGGTTTCACCAATGATTTATACAGTGGAGGATTACCCCATTTTGGCTTGTTATTGATCTTTTGATACAACAGCAAGCCGAATTGTATCAAAAGATCAATAGCAAAAGATCAATTATCCCATCCCCTCTTTGTCTGAAACCAAGTCTCGCCTCAAAAATCTA